ATTTTTCATCTGCTCACCCACTTCAGTAGTGGCCACCCCATCCTAATCCATCTTATGAGATCAACTATTCTCCTTCTGCAATACTTCGTTTCACTTTCTCCTTTTCATTTTTATGTTACCTAAACCATGAACTTTATTTTTACCATCTGGAGTTCTCCTTTATACTTATATTCTAGAGACTCATTCACTATAGCTCCCTGCATCACGCCCTCTATTTTCACTTAACAATAATTGTGAAACTGAGACCAAAACCTTTATCTTTCCCTTTTTGAGCTACAAAATTTAATTTTACTCCATGGCTGTGATCACCTTCTGTTGCACTGTTGTATTTTCCCCACATGTGTCCCCAGTGAATGACAGCTTCTCTACCCTCCCCTCTCACCCTTCCCCACACACAGGCTCTCAGTGTTGTTGCTTAGTATCATCCTTTCAGTTATCACTCTAAGCTGTCAGCAGCTGTGTCTCCTCCAGCAGTTCTCCTGTCTTTACCACATTACTTTGTTTTTCTTTAAGGTCCTTGTCCATACTGTAACACTTTATTCATGACCACCTTGCAGGTAAGTTTTTGTCTATGATCTATCAATGGTATCAACTTCAATTTACACTTTCAAACATACGTTTCCCTGCTTTCTGTGATGCTAGTTTTCATTCCCCAAAAGAGCTCTGCAAAGATCTGTAGAATTATTATAATTCTTTCTTTAAATTCTCTTTACAGCAACAGCTTGATAGGAAAATTCTCTGACTATTCTGCTAATATTACCCACATTATTTCTATTTATTTTCCTCTTCCCCAGCATTGCCACCTGTCCTAAACTTAGCAAGAGCTGTTTGGTACATTTACACAGTGCCCAATAAAACTTCTAATTCTTGACTTCAATTTAAGATTATTTTATATCAATGGTATCCAATAATTGAATTTTATAATGTTTTGTTGAGGGTGATGGAATTTTAATCCTTCTCAAAAAACAGCATACAAAACTAGTTATAAAATGACTATGAAAGAAATTATTTATTCAGCAGAAATGAACATAAGATTCTACCTTTCTCACTGGTTTTCAGATAAAAAAGCCCAGACCCTACAGATTTTTCTATTCATAGTCACCTAGAATTTTATCTCTCCGTAGTCAGAGACAAATCAACAATGGACTTTGGAAGGTTTCATAATAAAACATCAATAAGAAAAACTATTATGCTAAAGATAAAATGTGGGAAGGAAGTGTAGACAAAATTGTGCAGATAACATTTGTAATTCATTGGAATTAGGTTTATTTCTCCTGTTAACATTTCTCATGCTAGTTTGCAACAAAGGATCCAGCTAACCATTTAGAAGATGAAACCCCCCCCCCACTACTTCATGTCTCCAAACCAGAAACAAAATGCTCAACTTGGAAAAAAATTATTTGTTGTCTGTTGCAGTCAGAGTCCTAAGAATCCCTAAATTTCTCCATGGAATTTTTGCTAACTCTAAAAGAGCCAAGCAATATACATAAGCCCTAAGGAAGACACTTGTAGCCATGATATTTTCTGAAAAATCTTTTGCTAGCATTTTTCTCCTCTTCTAGCTGAAAAGCCTCAGAAAAGAAATGTAAACAATTAACTATCTGCTGCTGTGGAATGCAACAGGTGCATCTGTGATGGGTGCATGTTGGTTGTTTCTAAATAATGGCCAATCACAGCTGGCTCAGACTCTCTGAGAGTCATGAGCTTTTGTTATTTCTCATTCCTCTCCTGTCCTTTCTAGCATTCTGATAAATTCTTTTGTCTCTAGTTTTTAGTATATAATTTTAATATAATATATATCATAATATAATAAATCAGCCTTCTAAAACATAGACTCAAGATTTTCATCTCTTCCCTCGTCCTGGGAGCCCCCATCAATTCAACTATAGACACTTTCAGATTTTCTAGTTTGACTGAGTCTACCAAGACACACATTTTTAGGGCACATAAAAATGTGTTGGGTAAGAATGTGAGGACAGTGAAATTTTAAGGTGCTTTCCAAATGTTTTTCTTACATACATGAGGATGCAGCCCTGTTTCCTAAGAAACAGATTATAGCAGTAGCCTAAAAGAGGAAAACATCTGTCCTTCTCTCAGGGCTGGACTGTTAAAAGCTCAACAAGGCAGTTTTGTCTACATGATGGCCTTAAACATTTTCATGCTGAACACAAAGCAGAAGAAAGCAAGGGTTTGAGGACTTTGGCATGATGCATGAAATACCAAAAAATATTGCCTCAGCCTTTTTACATTCCATTCATATACCTAATATTCAGAAACCTAATTTTCTGTATTACCACACATTTTACTGTTGTTCTGGATTGACTATATGATGCTTTTATCCCCAATCGTCTTGTTCTGTTTATCTCCCGAACCCGTTAAAGAGAGAAAAGCAATTGAATCTGCTTTCGTAGAAAAGCCCCTTTAAGAGTTATCTCCCAAACTTGCCCTAAACCAAGACAACTGTAAATGTTGTACTATTTCTGGCAGTGCTCACATAGCAAACTCAACAGATACTGTACCTAAATTTACGGCAGATTTCAGACTTTAATTTTTGGTCACTTAAGAGGCATTTTTGGTCATGTAAAAGATACACATTTGGCACTTATGTTTTCAGGAGTTGGATGATGAGACAAATTCAGGCTTTGGCGAGAGTTTTGGCCCCTCGTCCTGCCGAGTTGGTCTAAGTAAAGATTGTAGTGTTCTGACTTCTAATCATTATTACAAGTCTCAGCCAAATGGCAGGAATAGTTGCCAAGAAGATGTAAATTCTATGCAAAATTAAAACTTTGGCAAAAAAAAAGAGAGGACTTGAAAGTTTGGGCTATTATAAAACTTAGAAGGCTGTTTATTTGGAAGCATAATAAGTTGCTAGGTGACATAATGGAGCACAAGTCCTTGAATTGCCAGGTCCATATATATTATGATCAATATTATTTGCTAAATGCAAGAAAATGACAATGGTAAAGGCAGCCAGTTCACTTCAATGCTATGTTACTTCAGAAGATAATGGCTGACCTCTTTAAAAGATGGACTTGCCAGATGCTGTAAGTTAGACAGTCACATAATTATTTCAAGTGTATAGGTTGCTTGTGTTGTGTGGTGTGCTTTGGCAAATCCTGGAGCTGAAGAAAGTTGACGCATCTTTGAAGTTTAACATAAACGCAAATGCTGAAAATTCGTCAAGTACAAGGTGATTTCCCAGGGAATACAGAAAGATCTCACACAGTAAATTTACAGCAAACCAAAACTTTTTATGCCTCCAGCATAAGATATAATCTAGATCTGTACATTTTTTAGTTAGCTGTCACCTTCATGCCTTTCTCGAAAGGCCATTCTTTTATTCTGGAAGCAGCTTGAATCTAAAATATCTCATTGGCTTCTCTGTGCCATAGCATATTCAGACTACCCTATAATAAAAGAGTGTGAGCCACTGGCTCAGAGTTTACAGCTTCAGGCTGAAGAAAGGCACCTAAACCATTTGCAGAGCAGGCTTGGCCCCAGAAGCAATAGTGTCATTCACCCAGCTCCATACTCCAACTACTGAACATGGGCAGACACAAAATGGCTTTCCTCACAATTAACTGCAATATTATAATGTCTGATGCCTGATTAATTCACAATCCAACTAAGCTGCTAAATAACACAGCTGACTATTAAATGTGCAGTTTTCTGTCTAGAAACACAAAATAGTGTACTGTCCTGCATTGTTTAAATTCCAAACAGGCAAACCAACATTTCAGTTCCCGAAACTTCAATTAAACATCACAATTCTTTCAGAGTTCTGGAACTGAAATTATTTACGCTTCCCTCACAAGTCCTGATCTCAGTCTGAATTCATTGGACATTGTACCTTCTGCTTCCTTCTTGGCTGCAAGTGTTTCTCTACCTGTAGTCACTTCTGCTTTGAACATCACCTTCAACACCCTCATCCCTACTGACAAGAGACAAAATTTTTTTCATAATTTTGGAGCAATGCCGGAAAGATAATTACTGCTTATTCCATTATCCCATTGCAATGTCCTGTTTTTCCTTCACTCTCTATTTAATCACCAAGTAATATTTTCCATTTGTTTTCATTTTTACCCTTTTGACTTTTTGCACTTGACTTTAGATGGTGATCAGCCTTTTTCTATTTTATTTCCCAAAGGCTTACTACTTATGCCTCATACAGTTTCTGAGACAGTCATTTGCTTAACTGAGAGAGAGAGCCTTTTCCCTACTGTTTCTCCTATTTGGAATACAAGTTTATCATACTTTTACCATATCTGGGTTAGAGAAATTTCTATCCTCCATAATCAAGTCGCTGATTTTCCACTTAATTTAAATTAGTGTGCTTGCAATCACCGTAATCTGATCCCTGCCACTATATCCCACCAAAACTAAGGCCAAAATACAATCATGTTGTTTGTGTGGCTCTTCAGTAACCACTTCACAGAATAATGGGGTTCTGCTCTCTGAGTTTAGCTCTTGCAGCATGACGGCATCTTTTTCCACTAAAAAATGTTTTGGTTTTTTTTTTTTTTTCACGACCATTTTTATATTAGAATTAAGGAGTTGATGTCCTCAGTCCCTGTAATCTTGGTATTTCTCTCCGTGGTGTTTCAACTGCATAACGGCAGAAGACTTCTCTTGAGCCCGACACAGGTAGGCTGAGCCGCGAGATCCCTGCGGACACACAGGTGCGGCACAAGGGATCAGGCGGGGGATGATGCCCTGAGCGCTCCGCACACCCCCCGCACCTCTGGGCCGGGCCGGGCCGGGCAGTGCGTGCGAGGTCCCTTCGAAACTCCGGCCGCGGGGAGCCGGCACGGCGGGCTGGGCAAGCGGTCACCTGGGGCAGGCGGAGCCCGGGGGCCGTGTGCGGGCCGCTCCGCGCTCCCGGGGGCCCTGTGAGGGCCGGGGGCTGTGTGCGGGCCGCTCCGCGCTCCCGGGGGCCCTGTGAGGGCGGAGCGTGCCCGCCGGCCGTGCCCGGTTACCGTTGCCAGGGCCCGGCGGCAGCGATGGTGAAGGAAACGATCCGGGTGTACGCGCGGGTGAAGCCGCTGGGCAGGCGGCAGCAGGCGGGGGTAGGCTGGGAGCTGAGCCCCGGGGGTGCGCTGGGGATGCCGGGGAGAGCCAAGGGGTGCCCGGGGACGCTGGTTCCACGCTCAGGTGGGGGCAGCGGGGCAGAGCACAGGACCTTCAAGAGGCGGGGGCGGCGAGGCTGGTACGCGTGTGCGTGTGCAGCGAGAAGCTCCTGCTGTCCGAAGCCCTAGGAAGTTCATAAAATGACGATGTAGAGGAGTTTAGGCTGTAACTGTTGGGGGAGTGACTGAGGAACTTCCTCAGCCACTATTATAGAAAGGCTCCGTAGGAAAGCGCTTGACACGCGTCACTGGGTTTGTGCGGTTCAGCAGTGTTCTGAGCAAGGGAGGGGAACGCGTTGCTCCCAGTGTACAGCTGCCCTCCCAAGGGATAATAAAAATAATGAAAGTGTTCTTCAGGAGAGGTGCATTTAGGTCTCTTAATTGACTTCTCATCGCACCTTTTGTCTTGTAGCCTTTCCTAATGTATTGTTTCAGATTTTTTGGAGAGGTTTGCACTGGGGGCCGTGCTTTTTTTTTTTAATAACATCACAGTTATTAAAGTGGTTTAGTAAGCAAATTATGTCAAAGAGGCTGCTCTTTTGTTTCAAGTGTTATTGTAGTGTTTACATGGTGACAGGATAATGCTGTTATGTGCTGGTTTTGTTGTGTAGTGGTTAAGGGAGATCTGCTTACGTATTCAGTGCAATTTGTAACAAGCTTGTCTCCAGACAATAACAGGTGCTAAGCTTAGATGAGTGGTGCATCTAAGGGTAATTCTGTTCTGTTGATGATGTTATTCTGTGAATTAATATCCATCCTTTATTAGAGTTATTCCATTGATAATGAGGAACCTCTGCCCAGTCTGGAGATTACTGTGCCACGTGACTTAGCAGATGGATTCATCAACAATAAACGAGAAAGCTACAAGTTCAAGTGAGTAGAAGCCTTATCTTTGTACCTTCTGCCTTTAGTGACTGACAATGCTATATGTAGTGGTCCAGATCTATAGAATCAGAAAAAGTCTAACTTTAAGATTAAATTATGGTATAGATGGGTTTATTTTTATATAAATCCCGTAACAAGAGCAATGCTTCAGGACAGGCTCTTCACCACAATGGGTCTGATAACACTGGATAACATTGTCGTACTATTGTCTGTCCATTGTAAGTCATTATGTATTTCTAAATCTCATCTCAAAGATGCATTTATCAGTCCTTCTATATTTGCACTTTGTTTTGAATTTGTGTATGAAGACTGAGTAGGGACTTGTGTTATCTTGTGATGTTATGAGTTGTTGTAGACTGGCTAAAGAAGTCTTGATGTAAAACATTCTGTTTAGAAACCGTTTCAGACATAGCCAAAGCAAAGTAACAAAAACCAGAAACTTGACAGAAATAAATGCTTGGTTTGAGAGTGTAAATATGTTTTAGGAACTTAAAATCAGTACAGCAATATCAAATATTTTTATTAATTCAACAGAAAAGTGAGGCAACACTTTAAAATTTTTGTGATGAATAAAGCTAGATATATCATCTCTTACGATGGGGTCAAGACTGTCTTTTTCCAGTTCAGTTATGCTTCATTTCTTATAGTAAACAACAAGTAATTTGTTTCTCTGTGCTATTAAAAAAGAGAGCTCCGCATAAACAACTGCAGCTCAGACTGATGTAGTTTTACATCAGCTAAGGTAACCTGCTTGAAAAGAGAGGAGCTGCCCTCTCCAAATAGATTCAAATGCAACACTACATTAGTCTGAAGATGCCCAAGCCTGACTTAATGAATGCAGCTATTTTTGTCTGACTTTATAATTCATTAAAAACTCTGAGATGCATTTTGAGAAACCCTATGCCTTATTATCCTTAAGACAATGCGAGAAGAATTGTTTGAGTTACTTGACTGATTAGCAGGATAGAATAAATGCTTTCATGTTTTGTGTATTGCATTTGTCTGTGATATTGCACCCAGTGCATGGGTCATCATGGTGCTTTTCTACACAACCAGTGTCCCTAAGGCCTTCCTACACACCCTGGCAAGTTCCGTGCAAGAATAGAGTTCCAAACCGGGGGGGCAACACAGCAGGGCACCAGCAGTATTGGGGGGCTGCTGGAACATGTGGATGACAACTTCCTGACATACAGTTAAGCCAATGTGGATATTTGCAAACATGGACAAACTGTTGAGGGATATTAAGCCTGGAGGTAGCTTTGACTGCAGGGGCAGTAAGATAATGAAATTCAGGATACAGAGAGAAGGGAGTAAGGCAAAAAGCAGGATCACAGTCCTGGACTCCATAAATGCAGACTTTGGCTTGTTCACGGATCTGCTTGAAAGAATTCTCTAAGACACATTCCTGGAGAGATGACCAGGAAAACTGGCTGATTGTCAAGGATCACCTTCTCTGAGCTCATGTCCATCCACATGAACAGAAATGATGCAGAGGCAGCAGGAGGTTTGGAACAAACGGTCCCTTCCAACATCAAGAATTCTGATTCTGTAAAATAACTGCAGATATTTTCATATAGAAAGTGACATAGCATACTTAATTAAATATCTTATTGTGTCCTATAGTAATTGTACAGCAGAATGAAGGAAATGGCTTGAAAAAATGTGAGCCTGGCTGTACTGGTGGGATGCTGTATTTGGTTATAGTGTAATCTATTTATCCAGGATTCGGTGTGGTGCCAGTTACAAACACTAATTCTCTTGATAGATTTAAAATACGGTTTATTTTTTTCTAAGCCACATCATTTTATCAGAGGATTTTATTGTACAGATCTTGTCAAAGCAGCTCTGTGTACAGCCTATTTATGTACAATAGCACAACAGCAAGCTGTGGTTAAGACTACAGGGAAAACATTGTACTAAGTTATGTAAGCCTAATGATGTAAACATTGACTATTACAAACACAAACAAAAATGTATGAATCAAGTACTGTTTCAACATTCTAAGCAATTATTATTTGCTTAATATTTTCAGATTTCAGAAAATTTTTGATCAAGAGGCAAAACAAGATGTGATTTTTGACAGCATTGCCAAACCAGTAGCAGAATGGTATGTTGTTGATCCTGCAAGTAACCAGGGAAAAGCTATTTCTGCTTTTGTTGTATTACTTGAAGGAGAGTTGTCAAGTCTTTGTATTGTTGTTGTAAAATTGGATTGATGTTCTAATTTACTAAATACTGACATGTTTGAATCCAGGAGATATATAATCCCCTGAGAATTTTATGTGTACTAAGGTTCCTTTTTTGACTCTTCAAATAGCAATGCTACTGTTGCCTCTTTTGTTGTATAGCGATATAAAGCCATGCCTAATTCTTTTTTTTGTCTATAATATAAACTGACTTCATTGCCATGGAATAGTATTTTCTGTATAGTTTAATGTAGAGGTAAACCTAATGAAAATTTTATCCCCCCATATAACTTTCATTAAGCTAGGGACTCTCATTAATGTTTGTGGAGATATTCCTAAGTCTTGTCATTGCTTTTGTTTTGATGTGTAAGGCAGTGCTTTGGCACTGGTTTGTTTTTTTCCCCTCCTCAATTTTCTTAATCAAACAATGCTCATATCTGACAGTTTGCAGAGGCAAATATTTAAGACTGATGAAGACTTCTGCATTCATTGTGTGGATTGAATGCCACTCTGAAACACGTGGATTTTTCAATGGAAAAAGGATTTTATGCCATTCTCTTCACTCAGTTTACTGTCTGTGTTGAAGTTTGTACTGGTTTCAGTGTGGGAGAAAATCCCATGCAGGACGAAGCAGAATTTCTGCATAGTGTTGGCTTGTTTATCAAACTTACTGCTCAAAATCCAGACTGGTAGTGAGTTGGGAAGTATTACTTCAAGTGCCAACTTTGTTCTCATTCATTGTCTGACCTATATGTTGGTTTAAGCCATGATTCTGCAAGTTATTCCTCAATCTATTGCACAGTCCTGTGTTTAGCACTGTAGGAAAACAAAACTTCAGCTGGACATTAAGCCTTTCTCAAGTTGTTACAAGGCAGAAAAATATATCCATCTCTTTATAATTTTATTTTCTTTCTCGCCACCCCTGCTGTTTTCTTCTCTGAAGTCCCACATAAAGCAGAAAGGTAATTGACACTGATTATGAAAAGCCAGTGAATTCCATTAGAATAAGGTAAAGAGAGTTAAAAATAATGCTTGTTATTTTCTCATCCAAAAGATATTTCTTTATCTGACACTATCACATATAGCTTCAGATTAACTCATACACTTAATTTTAAGTATTTCTGGATTTAATGCTGACTGCAGAAAAAAAGACTTTTATCAAATTTGAGTGTGTTTGGAAAGAGAAGTGTTAAAATCTCATTATTATGTACTATGGACTTTGTTATCCTCAACAAAAGCTCAGCATATCAAAATTAACTAGTAAGAAACTGGTTACTTTTTTCCCTTTGGAGTGGTATGCTAGAATATGGACATGTTTTCCAGTTGAAGAGTTCACCTATACAGTGCTCTAATAATCAGGAAGGGGTATTCTTCTCCTTTATTTCAGTGTTAGCTGATAAAAGACTTGTTTTATATCTTAATTTTCTCTGTTATGTAGGCTTTAGTTTCAGAGTTTAGATATTTTTAACTACTTGAAAGTACTTTAATGCTATTAAAATCAATGGTGTTTAGGCAGACAACTGTCCCTAAATAGTTGAATCTTTGTCTTTAATGCTGAAATTGACTTATAAAACCATTATTAATGAAATCAATACTGTCTCAGAGCATTATAATGAGGTAATGCTTGTATTCTAAATTGTGCTTTTGTTGTTACTGATAATTTTACTTGTGTTTTTATAATAGAGTTGATAATAACTGAAGTGTGTTAATGTTTTTTATCCACTCCCTTAATTTTTTATCTCTTTGTAGACAAAAATATAAATTTCAAAATATATTCAGAGTCATGGATTCTTGGCTAATGGAATCCTGAACTGGGCCTGAAATTGTTTCACTCTGTGGTTAGTGATGCCATTTCCTTTTTCATCATAGAATAAGAATTGCCCTGCTTCTCTTAAAGATCACTTTTTTTTTTTTTTTGCAGCAAAATGTCATTCATTATTTGTTTCTTTCACAGTCAATATTCTCTTGCATGAAAAAGCTGTTGCAAGTGCACATGTTTCTGTTGTTGGAGTCACTTTACTAAGGGAACAGTTTTTGTGTGTGTATTGCCAGTGAAAAGAAATAGCAGGAAAATATTAATGAAATAGCTCAGTAACATTTTGAGGTTCTTTGTCCTGAATTCTTACAGGCCTGAGGAAATTCAGTTAGAGACTTGAATGCTTAGGGAAAAAAAAAAAAAATCTTGGGCACTGTTTAAACTAAAACCAGAAAGGCAATGCTCAGGATACTAAAATCTTTCTATTTTGTACTTGGATGGATGGAAATTGGATGAAACTCTCTTTTCTTTTTCCTTTTTTTTTTTTTTTTCCTTCTTTTTAAGTAGGTTTTCTTTGATGTTGGGCCACTACTTCTCTTTTTGTAAGTCCAGTTACATTGTCATCTTGCCTGTGGTTTCAGAGGCACCAGACATTAGTTTGTTTAATTTGCTTCTTCAGTAAAAAATGCCAGCCTCTGCAAACTATTATAAGCTTATGACTTGCTTGAACTTCATTCATTTTTTTCTATCCTTGAGTCATCTCTTATGTTGTTTCTTTTCCTTCTCATTTTAAATATATATTCTTGATAATACTTTTGTGCAGTTTATGAAGCAGCACGAATTCTGTTACTGCATCAAAACCAGAGAAAATAAATAATGGCCTACTTTAAAAATTTGCTAATGATTAAGCATTGCTTTAGCCTCACAACTAAACAAGGCTACTCTCAAAATATTTCAAATATTAAATATTATGATTATGTATGCAACCAGAAATTAAGTAGAAAATATTAACTGTGTTGAGTTAGTGGAGTTTTCAGTTCTCATTTGAACTAAAACCTCAATCAATGTTTCAATATTAGATTTCTTGTTTTTTTTTTTTAAAGAATAACATTTGAAAATATTTTTTTTTTTTGTCTCATGCAAATAAGAAATAGTTCAGCTGTTTATAAACCTAATGTCAATCACCTGTGATCTTGTGAAAACTGATGGCCTTGGGGATAATGCTCGCATTTCTACAGGTTCTGGTTTCTTCTCATGTGCTATATTTGTCCTAAGAATTCGCGTCTGTAATATATAAACTACTCCAGGTTACTATCAACTGGTTTCATGGGGTTTGTTTTTTTTTTTTCTGCTGTATTCTGTATTCTTACAGAAAATGTAGTAAAAACATTTTTATTAACAATTATTCATTCTATACCTGGATATATTTGCCACACAATGTTTAATGCAGTGATCTGCCTCACCAAGACCTGCAGAATCTATATAGAGCAAAAGGACACATTGTTTCAGATGTCATCTTGAAAGCAATATAGCTTAAATTTTCCCTTAAATTGAGAAATTAGCAATGCTTGCTGTTCTTTCTCAAAGTGAGTACAGTTATGAGGCAATAAAAAGTGAGAAGTGTCAATGATGTTTCTTCTCAAATGACTATTAGTTGCTTGTTTGTTTTGACATAAATTGTGCAATTTAGAATTGTTCAAGAAGGTTGCTTAATTTAAGTTAGAGTTTGACAGCTTTGATTCAGAATATCTTTGTGTCACTTATCTGTTACAATGTTTATGGTGAAATTCTAAATACATTTAGACATCTTGGTCGAAACAAGAAAATGCGTTACTTTTTTTTCTTCTGTGGGAGAACTTCTGAATTTTCTAAGGAAGCTTGCCTGCACTAATTTCTCAAAAGCAGCTACATGCACATTTGGAAATCAGTTTTGTTTCTTAAACATGAGGCATTACTAATTTGGATTTGTTCCACAAATCTGGCAAAGACATAAAAAAAAAGTCATACTGAGATACTTTATTTTAATTAAAATAAACTTTAGTCTGACCTCCAATTGTTAGAAGATATGTGAAAGCTAAGTCTCTGTGAAGACAAATTCTCCTGAAAACTTATTTTCCAGATCCTTGAAATTAAGTTCTTTTTATCTTCAATATAATTTGGAAGGAGGAGTTGGGGGAGAAGGGGCAGAGAGGGCCACTTTTGCCAGGATTTGGTTAATTTATTTTTTAATATCAATGAATTTAGGTTTAATGAGATAGAAGGAAGCAAAATGAGGGGCACTGATTAAAAAAAAAAAATCAGGTCTGCAAGAACTGAGATAAAGAGAGGGCCAACAGTATCCAAATATCAGAGATACTGGTGTCTTCTGCTTTTTTCATCAGTCTAATATTTTGTAGTATTGAATATTTGTTTTGACCACATGCCTTTATGTTACTACTCATTTAAAATGAAGATGGCAGAACTCAGAAATGATAATATGAAGCCAAAATAAACAAAGAATATTAAATAAGTTTTTAAGATCAAAGTTGTTTCTTGTTCTCAGGATTTTCTATTACCTACTTAAAAACACTTACAGAATTTGGTCTTACTTAATAAGAGGTTTTCATCATTTTATTTATTCATATTACAAACCTTGTACAAAACTTTCACTTTGAACTTTTTCAACCTATTAAAACAATTAAGAAAGAAGGGATCTCTGTAGGTCATCTGGACCAATCTTCTGAGGAAAGCAAGTCTGGCTTCTAGGTCACATTTCTCAGGCCCTCGTCCAATGGAGATTCAAAAATGTCCAAAGATGGGAATCCCATAATCCATCTGGGAACCTGTTCCAAGGCTTAACTACTCTCACTGTGAAGAATATTTTCCTTATACTCACTTCTCTTGCCACTTGTGACCACTGCTTTGTGTTCTACCAATGTAAACCTCTGGGAGGAGTTGGAGTCCATCTCTAATGATCTCTTGCAGAAGGTGGTAATTAGGTACGTGTAAGGCTTTCTCTTCTCTGGGTTGATAGGAAACAGTTCACTTGGCTTCTTGTGCATGACATGCTGCAGCCTGAATTCAGTTGGTTCTGGCAGGCTCACTCCAGTTTCTTCAGTGCCTTTTTCATCTGCTGGGGAGCCCAAAAGTGGGTACAGAACTCAAGGAGGAGAGTTTTATTTTCTT